TTATCCCTTGCCAGATATTCGTGCATGTACGATCGCTCAGTGTTTTGTCAAAGAGTTTCTGTCTCGCTATGGTTTACCCGAGCGCGTTAACACTGATCAGGGGAAGCAGTTCGAACCTTTATTGTTTCGCGAGCTATGCCTGCGCCTCGACATCGACAAATCACGAACGACTCCGTATCATACGCAAGGCGATGGTGTTGTTGAGAGAGCAAATCGCACGATCCAGAATATTTTGAAGATTTTCGTGAATGAAGAGAATTCGAATCGGGACGAGCTACTTCCGTCGACTATGTTAGCGTACAACACGAGTGTTGACGCATCTACGAATTTTACGCCGTATTCTTTAATGTTTGGTCGCGAAGCACATATGCCTCTTGATATTTTGTGTCCTCCGCCTACCGACTCACTTCCGGAAACACACGAATCATTTGCAAGAGAGCATGTTTCGAAGCTGCGCTTTTCCTACGATTTGGTTCGACAGCATCTCGATTCTAGCCAACGTTGCTCTAAAGCCCGTCACGATCGAAAATCTCGCGCTAGCCCATTGAATGTAGGTGACCAGGTGTGGTTGCATTGACATCCGCCGCCTCAAGTTTCGCCTAATTTGTTTAAGTATTGGTCGGGACCATGGGAGATTGTAAGGAAACCGACAGACCGACAGACCGACAGTATGCGATCGAACCTCGATTTGAGAGTCCTATCCGCCATCGACCGTGCGCAGTTCATCGAAATCGCCTTCGGAAATCTTTGGTCCAAGTGGGACCTGCAACGCGCACACCACTTGCTGCGCCTACACGCCCACCGCTTGCTGCACCCACACGCCCACCGCTTGCTTTGCCTACACACACGTACAATACTCGGTCTCGCGCTTTAGTTTAAGTTCATACTCTTCGAACATACGTATCCTTCATTGGCCGTGTCTTTTGTTTTGTCTTTTTCTTCTTCTTTTTTTCCTCTTTCTCTCGCGGTGTTCTCGTGTCTTGGTTTCCGTGTGTGTGCTCTGTGTGTTGCTTCTCCCGTTTCAGTACCATGGCCGAGGGTTCACCGATGCACGCGGACCTGGTGGCGGCATTACGGATTCCGTTTCCGCCGGATTCCCCACCAGGAACGCCTCCGCCTCTACCTGTCGCTGACCGCCTACAGCGAACGCCGCCGCCTCCATCCCCGGTATGAAATCCGTCGCCGTGGGGGTTGCCAGTCCGGGGCCGGAGCTGGTTTGTCCGCATGGACACGCCATCTCCGGTGCCCCGGCTACCATCGACACCAGCTTCGCCCCAAGCGACGGCACAGCCGTTGATCTGGCCGGCGCACCTTGATGGCGCTAGACGCCAAGAGGAACCGACACCCGCACCACCGCCACCAACGCCTTCGATCGACAACCTACTGACAGCCATTCGACGACAACTAAGCATCCGTACGTACCGACCACCGTGACGACACAACACAACACACATCCAACATCAACTATGACCACGCCCACGCCCACAACCATGACCACGACCACGACCGACACACCGCTACTACGACTCCGACATCTTACCACCTCACCGACCTAACGTACCAACCATGCCACCCCACACACCATACCGCCACTATCGGACCCGCCACCCAATCCTCGTCCTCGTGTGTTCCCTCGTCATGGCCCCATATATGACCCCGTCAACCATTGGTTCGTCTTGTGATGTCCTTGTCCTTGTCCTAATCGTTTTGTCCTGATTGCCTGAAAAAGGTAGTCTTAGTCGTTAGCCGATTTGTGTCCATCGTACTTGCCAGGTTGTGTGTGCGTTGTTGTTTCTTGTGTGTGCGCTTCTTTTTCTCCTTATTTGAACTTGCGGATTATATCATTTGTGTGTGCATCTTTTTGTGTCTTGTGGGTCTTGGTCCGTTTGTTCTGATGATGTTGCTAGCACGCCCACTCTTTCAGAGCGAGTGTGCAACTGAGGATTTGTCTTGTTAATGAAGGATTACTCGATTCTTCGCACCTCGACGGTTCTCGCCTGGTTTTCACCTGTTCTTACTCGATTCTTCGCACCTCAACGGTTTTCGCCTGTTCTTGTATAGTGCCATCCTTGTTGTTTTGAGTATATGTGTGAACGTGTTGAATGTGCGGACAGGCACTTCGGAAGTTTTTGTCTTCCGGGGTGCCTGTCGTTTCTTTGTCGTTGTCCTTTTCGCCTTGGTGCTGCGTGTGCGGGCAGGCACTTCGGAAGTTGTTGTCTTCCGGGGTGCCTGTCGTTTCCTCGTCGTTGTCCTTGTCGTTCTTCTTAGATCACCTCGCCTCAAGATTTACAACATTATATGCATGTCTTAAATGTTGATTACATTTATGATTGGGTTACATTACATTACATTTATGATTGGGTTACATTACATTACATTTATGATTGGGTTACATTACATTACATTTATGATTGGGTTACATTACATTACATTTATGATTGGGTTACATTACATTACATTTATGATTGGGTTACATTACATTACATTTATGATTGGGTTACATTACATTACATTTATGATTGGGTTACATTACATTACATTTATGATTGGGTCACATTACATTACATTTATGATTGGGTTACATTACATTACATTTATGATTGGATTTACTACTGTTTTTTTTAAACTACAAGTATTTTCTTTAAATATATGTCGTTCTCTTTTCTTTCTTTTTTCCTCCACGAGGACACGGGATTTTTTATGGAGGGGTGGTTTGTCAGGCCCACAATATATTGATTCATATAATTCATTAGTTCATGCATTATTCATTTGGCCAGTGTAGCTACTTGCGCGTCCATGTTTGCCATAGCTACCCAGGCCCTTTATATTGCGTTGCCTCTTTCTCACTCGCTCTCGATTCATTGATTCTCGACTCCCGACTCTCGTAAGAAGATCTGCCTTTATTCGCTACGTTGTTCTCTTGTTGGACTCAACAAAAGCGACATAACACGAGAATAATCCATACAGTCCAGTATCCTCAGCTCACTGCCCTCGGGACGCTGCACACACCTTGCAGGTATCTACAAACCGCCTGCATGAGTGGGGTTGCCGGTGGAAAGTGTCTTTCGAGCCCACCAAGGCGCAGGCTAAGACTCCTACCCTCCAACGCACTGACCTAGACCTACCCCAAATCCTGTTTGGTGGTACCCCTGTACCGGAGGAAACCAGCATATCACTGCTTGGTGTTCGATTTGACTCCAAATTGTCCTTCGCTATTCACCTCAGGCCCGTGACCATCCGCGCCTAGCAGCGCCTCGGCTTTCTCAGACAAGCGGCCCACATTCTAACGCCAGCTGGCCGAACGACTGTCTACAAGGCATTTGTGAGGCCCCTGATGGAGTATGCTCCGTTTGTGTGGATGGGTGTGCCAGCCAGCCACATCCAATGTCTGGATAATGTTCAACGCTGCGCACTGTGCATCATTGGCCCTGGTGCAATTCTCCCCAGTCTGGCTGTCCGCCGGACTGTTGCTGCTCTCTTGTGCATGGGCAAATTGCATTTGATCACTGGCCCTCCTCAGCTACTTGCTGTATTGCCACCGCATCGCGTTTCTCCAGCCAACCCCAGAACCAGGAACAAGCACAATAATGCCACAAGCCACGCCTATCAACTGTCAGACACGCTCCCTGTCTCAGCTCCATCCGCCGTGAAGCGGTCGTTCCCCTACTGCTGTATTGGCGCATGGAACTCCCTTCCTGACAGGCTGCTGTCGCAGCGCCCACACAAACATGTTTTCACTCATTAAAGACAAAGGTCTACCGACACCTGAGAGACAGCAACTGGTACTGGGCAACAGATTCCCTGTAATTTTTCAAGCTCGTCGCTTACCGGACCCGCAAATCCGCGTACTTGGCCTTGCTCAGAGTGTTCAGCTGTGTTTTGCATACATGTACATGGTACACCAGTCCAAACGCTGATAATTTACAATCTCTTTATAAAAAGGCGACGAGGAGACAATAACTTTATTAATGCGATTAATAGTATAAGTGAAGCGGACATTACAAAATGATGAATGAGAATACATGTATCTAAAATGGTTGTTCCTAATCGATTTTCTTGAGACTATCATCAGGGAAAATGATGATAGTCTCAAGAAAATCGATTAGGAACAACCATTTTAGATCCATATATTCTCATTCATCATCTTGTAATGTCCGCTTCACTTACACTATTAATCGCATTAATAAATCTCTTTATATCTTGTTTTTATTTTTCTCAACATCAACCGGCACTTTTACCCATTCTACTTCCCCATAGCTAGACCTAGCTTCGCTTTACATTTCTGTTTCTTTTCCTGGTGCGTGCTTGTGGCATTGAAGCCAAGACTTTTGGTCGGTGGAGCCCCTGGTACCTCACCATTACTGCTGCCCAGTGCATCCCCAACTCATTAGCTGTTTGTTTATGTACACATAATTTACGAGTTGGGTTTGTGAATAATAGTAAAAAAAAATGTACATGATAGTACAATTCTGCTTATAAACTACAGCCGAGAACCACGTAGTCGAAAACTAAACAACATAGGTAAATCAATATTTTGCACATGCACAGAAAATTAATTTTGAAAAGGTTCGAACGTTCAGGAAAAAGACATTACTTGCATGACACATTGGCAGGACGAACAAGGCAAACTTCAACATTATGCAGTCATTGTGTTACCAGTGTTGGGGTAGCAGTTCCCTTATTGAGGCCGTGCTCGTCGTCGAGCTCGGTTAGTCGCCGCCAACCAGTCAGCGGAACCTCGGCCAAGCGCTCGCATTAGCTCAATGTTGACGGAGCTCCGGGTGACTAACCAGCCGAACAGCTGCCAGTCGCGACTCAACACGGGGCGTCCGTGCGCTCTCATCCCTCGCTCTATTCCCCCCTTATTCCCTCCATTGAATAACTTTGAACTGTTTGCTCTCCCGAGGAAGAGCGCGGAGAAACGTTACTTTTCCAAACATGCAATTACTAAGCGATGCATGGATGTAATGATATTAATCTCTTCCCCCTTCTAAACTTACATCGCTTTTAGACGGGTATTTTGATTGAAAATTCCGGGGGGTAAAGAGGCGATTTTATTCCCACTAAGGTATCTGCAAGCAAAGAAGACGAAATACAGTGCCATCTCAAGAAGACGAAATACAGCGCCATCTCAAGAAGACGAAATACAGCGCCATCTCGAGAAGACGAAATACAGTGCCATCTCAAGAAGACGAAATACAGTGCCATCTCAAGAAGATGAAATACAGTGCCATCTCAAGAAGACGAAATACAGTGCCATCTCAAGAAGATGAAATACAGTGCCATCTCCTCAAAAATGAGCACATATACACCTTCGCCTCCTGAAAACAGAGAGGTTCCAGGCTGTCCAATAGAGTGCTCAATACTTGCCGATAGAGGGCTCAATAAGTAAAGTAAGTAAATTATCGTATCCGTTCCCGAAGGGAACTCACGACGGCCGCTTACACCCGATAAACCCTAGCGGCAGATGCAGCGCCTAACGGTGGGGGTGAGTGGGTAAGTCTCACAACCACTGGCACAAGTGCCGAAAACGACCCCATTAGCTGCATCCATGTACCCCTTGTGCCTGGCCACAAGTTCCCAGTTGACTGTGGGTAGCAGCACGGCTGGAAAAGCCGCTCCCAGGCAGGACTTGAACCAGGTACCTCTCGTATCTCAATCATGGTCCTTGACCAACCCACTGTGCCTGCCTGGCTCAATAGAGGGCTCAATACTTCTGCTTTAACAGAAGGATCAACAAACATGGAAGCAACAAACCAGCTTCACATATTAGTAGTGTAGTATCCCTGCTTTGCTTGATTGTAGTGTATCCTCGTACGTTAGCGTGTCACCGTACGTTAGCGTATGTGGTCTGTTGCCTATAAAAGCGGCTGCGCATTTCTCTTTCCATACAAGATATTAATTTTTATTACATACTAATCCAGGTGTGTACCTGAGGAAGAATAAAAAGTTAATTAGAGTTAAGCACCGTGCCTCCACTCGGCTACCTATTACATTGGTGGCAGCGGTGGTTAAAGCGAACTTTGTCAGATTCGACCCCACCTGTTTTACATTGGTAGCAATGCGCTACAAAATTGGTGGCGCACATAGCATAGCATTGCGGCAGTAAGAAGACTCTACCTACCGACCGTCCTTCAAGATGCGTGATCCGCGCCAACGGCTGCGGATTACTTCTGGCGGTAGCATTCTCCTTCAGGTTTCTTATTGTTGATGTGAAGAAGCGAGAATTGAATGCTTTGTGGATCGACCTGGACTCACATGTTGTTGACAGGAGGGAAGTGTTCGAGGATGGGTTTGGTGGACTTACGAGAAAGACACCGTGTGCGCAGCGCGCAATTCGACGCCCAGTGAGCGGTCAATTATTTTCTAGTTTCCGTACGACCAACATGGCCCAACCTGCTGCACCAGCCGCCGCTCCTCCTACGCCTGCCCGCCACGTCCACTAATATCCAGAAATGATGACAGATAGTGTCTTTACCGTCTCTATCGTCTCTACAGCTCCATGCCCAACGTAATCTTATTCCCGATATGGCATTTTCTTTCCTGTCTTCCTTCAGTCTTCCTATTCTCTTTAGTCTTCCTTTACGCGAGTGAGTGAATCCAGTTTAGTTCGGTAGGCGTCCAATCATGGTGAGCCACGGTCTACCTAGCTAACCTGGGACAATGTGTGTGAGAATCCCCTTTTACATTCCAGGTGTGTACCGGAGTAAGTTCCCACAATGCAGTGAATTTTTTTGAAACTGTGAATTTTCCTGGCAGTTTGAGCCAGCGATGTGCAGAAGGCTGGTCTTTCACGTCCGGTTTGGAGAACCATTCTTTCCCTTTTTTGACCCCCAGCGATCGTGAGAACCTGGTGTGCTTTTACTTCTATGTTATGATTTGTTATCAGTTCATTTCTTCTGTCTACTTTAAACGTTATCATTTCCGATATACTCGAATGTTGAGCCTAGTTATTTCACTTTCTGACTGTATACAGGTCGTCCCCCGTTAATACGAGTCCGGTTAGTACATAAACCCCGTTAGTACATAACATTTCTCCGTACCCGCATGCCACCTACCTCAATAGTACATAATTTGTTGGTCTTTTGGCCTTCCAGTGGAGGCACGTCGTGTTCTAGTTTCTACTTGTGGACGCAATTATCTCAGAAATCAGAGCGCACATCACAAACCGACAACGCTCTGTTTTTTTCGAGTGACTGTACAGGCGCGGCTGGGCATGTACTAGTATCATGTAAACTGTAGAATATTCGCTGACTGTGACCGTTATAACATAATTTTTATGTTATATCGAGGGAATCAAGAATATCTCGCTCCCTAGTCATGGCAACAAGAAACACTCAGAAAAGTTGAAAAAAGTGAAAAATTCTGGTATACAAGCAAGTTATGTACACTTTCGTTTAGTACATAAACCCCGTAAATACATAACATTTGTCAAGTCCCAGGGATTATGTATTAACGAGGGACGACCTGTATAGTATAATGTTACAGTGATGGAGAGTTACTCTTAACTCGTATCCATAATGTCCTTTTCTCTTCTACATTTCCGATATAATTTGCCTTTTTCGGTTGACGCTGTGTTCATCACTCTTCGTTAATTTTTGAAAATCACGAGGGCGTGATTATCTGTAGGAAGGGAGGGTGTAGTATCCCTGCTTTGCTTGATTGTAGCGTGTCCCCGTGTTAGCTTATCCTCGTACGTTAGTGTATCCCCGTATGTTAGCGTTTGTGGTCTGTTTCCTATAAAATCGGCTGCACATTACTCTTTCCATGTAAGATAATAATTTTTATTACAAAATAATCCAGGTGTGTACCTGAGGAAGAATACAATATTAATTAGAGTTAAGCACCGTGCCTCCATTTGGCTACCTATAACAGTAGCAAGTACTCTCAATAACAGTTAGTACCTGGTTTCAGGAGTGTCTTATGAGGCGGGTTACAGAACCGTCATTCGCTGGCTTTACTTGTAGTTTTGATAAAGCTTCGCTCTTCATTGAGATATCTACCATTCTCTCGTCTTTCTCATTAGTTTCTCCCCGACCCTCCTTCCCTGTGACACAATAACATATTCGCTACCTTGTCATTGAGCATTTGTGCTCGTTTGGATTTGCGAATTTCAATATAGTATACAAACAAACACCACAAACATCTAACAACAACAGCAACTAATCCACAATGCCAGGTAGCAAATGACATACCAAGCAGATCTACAGCAGATTACAACAGGACCTATGAATTCACAGTAAACATACAATGGGAACAATCGGAGAGGGCGATGACTGACAAGTTTGAATTCATTTACAGCGCGCGTAATTCTGCCTTCTCACCAGAGGAAACCTCCAGTCCCTGCTAAGAACGAAAAATCCACAATACAAGCCAGCAAATGACATACCAAGCAGATCTACAGCAGATTCCCCTCTAGTTGTCCTGCCCTAGCACATCTCAGCTCTCACGTCTTATGAAAGTTTACTTTCATAACGAATATTAAGATGATGTAAGGAGATTCCTACTTCGAAGTAGACTCACTGTTTTCTTCACTCCCCATAATCCAGGATAACTAATCTTGTTCTTAATCTTTTCTCCCTTTCCATCATCATCATAACATTGGGCATGATTGCCCGTTTGACTTTCAATGTAATTAATAAAACCAATACAATACAATACACCTGGAGGCATGACAACGTACTCGCGGTCATCGTCAGAAAAATGCGTGAGGAGATTCGAATCCGCGCTGCTGCAAACACCGTAAAAACCGAAAATTCAAATGACCTTGACTTCATCTCGTTTTGCAAGGCAAGGAAGAAACCAGTTCACGTTCAGCCCAGAGGAAAGTTGGATGCGACTGATCTCCTGTCAGCTGCCTCAGACTGAAAACTTCTTGTCGACTCGGTTAGTGCAAAGATGTCTTTCCCTAGCTGTGTTGCACTTACCACCCTAAGTCCAGATACAGTTCTGTACTCTACGATTTGTAGGGTTGTATTCTGGATGGAGTTGACAGTTTGTGCTGAGGACAGATTCAGTGTCAGTAACTCGCGGAAGGACAGGCGGTATGCGGATCTGGCCGATCAATGCCAAGCACATGGGTGGCAGGTCGTTTCTTTTTCGGTTGAGGTATGTGTGGGTGGTTTCATCCCGGACTCACTTCGGACTGCTCTGAAAGCGCTTGGGTTTTCTAATCGAAGTATATAATTTTTTTGCAAGTTGTGTAGTAAGACGTCTCTGCGAAGCAGCTACATCATCTGGTTACGACGTCAACAAAAACACCGGTCAGAAGATCCACTTTTCCGAGGTACTGTATGTGGGACTCCGTTTATTGAGGTGCGTTGAAATTTATTCTCTTTTATCATATTATTTCTTTTCTATCATTTCCCCATATGAGTTGCTGTGAACACCTTGAGTGGAGAGCGCTTGCTCGAGCGTTGAACCCGGGTTCTTAATCCACCATTCCCAGTTCGCAAGGCTTGGCGGGGTTGTGAGCAGGCTTTCATTCCACCTTTTCTTAATATTTCTGCTTTTCACCTCATTACAAAAATTCTGCGCTTTTTTTCTCCATCTGCGCATAAAATCTAGGCTGACAACCTGCTTGTTAAATCATGCACATGTTGTCAGGCGTAAAAACGTTGTAGAGATCTCAGGCCTCATTTATTAGACTTACCTGTCTTTATAAATGTAACTTACTCTCTCTCTTTCTCTCTCTCCCTCCCTCCCTCTCCCTTTCCCTCTCCCTCTCCCTCTCCCTCTCCCTCTCCCTCTCCCTCTCCCTCTTCCTCTCCCTCTCCCTCCCACCCTCTCTCTCTCTTTCACTCACACTCTCACTCTCACTCTCTTTCTCTCTGTTTTTGGTGCAGAAAAACATCTCTGGCGTTGAATACTTTCTTGCTTAGACTTCTGCCGCGCCTTTGTTCTCGTACTCCCCTCTATGTACTAATGTTGTGCAAACCCTCCTTCTAGTCTGTCTCATTTTCCCCGAGATGTTTAGATGCATATTGATTGTGACGCTTATCCTTCGTTCCCTTGTGACTGAACAGTTCTGTCCGTTTGGTTTTAGCGAATTCAAACAAAGGAAACAAACAAAACAAGCCTAGTTCACATTCGACCGGGCGAGGCGAGAAGTAAGGATCGACGGGACGCGACGGGACAGTCTGACGGCGTACAATGTGAACACCAGAAACGGGAATGCAACGGTACTGCCGTAGGGATCGGGAACCAACGGGAAGAGTGGGATCAGTTCAACCTTTCATACCGTAGACGGGCATAGGCGGGGATGCATTTTTAGTGTGAACAGGAGACGACGTGGTGCCCCAACTACTCCCGATTCGCACTTGGAATTTTTTTGGCATTTCAAACACTGCGCTTCCCATGATAACTCGCCGAATGGCTAACATGACTTGAGTTGAATTTTAGCAAGATAAGATCTGAAATCACTTATGCTATTTAGGGATAGTTAGGGCATTAGAGGTTTCTAGAAATATTTTTAGGGTAACAAAACAGACCAAAGCGAGGAACAACAGAGCCTCCAAGAGGAGAGGAACCATGCTCTGCTACCAATGTAACAGTTCCCGGTTGAACTTACACATGTAGTTCCAAGTGAAAGACAACCAAAACATGCCATGCATCAGATTATATAGGGTAGAACACAACTGAGAACCAATCAGAAGGTGCAACAGGAATGAGCCAGCAGTGTCAAGGTGTGAACAGACTGTGCATGTGTGAGAGTACTTCGAAGTATCAAAGTTAAGAACAATGAGAAGGTGACAACTTGGCAGTTGTAGTGTAAACTGTTACAGTACCGACGTGAGTGAGTTGTCATTTTTCGTGCTTTCCCGCAGAATATTTCTCGAATTCACAGAGTGAGGTTTTCCAGGTAGTTCCTACTGTAACAGCATTCATTGAATCTCAGAATAAGACAACTAAACTAATCTAAGTAGTGAACTATAATTATCGGATCAACGCAACGCAGCTTCCAATCAGCAAGATCGGCGGGATAAGGTTAAAGCTTAGCACATATATAAGAAGAGCGCATGTTGACGCATATGCTGCTAACTGTTAGTGTAGAAGTATGGTGTTAGATGTGGCGCAAACACTGATACAGGTAGTGATGTAACAGAGCGTGGGACTTGATGTACTTTTTATTCATCACTCTAACAATTTGCATGGATGCATAATTATCATTATACGCTTGCTCGCGTTGACATCACCAAGCAAGCTTGGCTAGTCTTCGCATAAGCTAAGCGAACAAAAGAAATGAGGAACAAGCGAGACCAGTGAGGTGAACACACACACGTGCAACTGCAGAATAGTCAAAAGGAATATACATGTAATAAGACAGTCCTAAAACACACGACATATCAACTATTTACTTCAACAAATAAAACGGGAAATGGATGAATACAGGAATCATGACAGCTGAGGGTACATAGTGTCAAAGCGACACAACACGAGTATAATGTACATAATAGTACAATTCTTCTAATAAACTACAGCCGAGAACCACGTAGTCGAAAACTAAACAACATAGGTAAATCAATATTTTGCACATGCACAGACAATTAATTTTGAAAAGGTTCGAACGTTCAGGAAAAAGACATTACTTGCATGACACATTGCCAGGATGAACAAGGCAAACTTCAACATTCTGTAGCTTTTGCGTTACCGTTGTTGGTGTGGCAATTCCTTTATTGAGGCCGTGCACGTCGTCGAGCTCGGCTAGCCGCCGCCAACCAGTCAGCGCAACCCTCGGCCAAGCGGTCACATTAGCTCCATGTTGACGGAGCTCCGGGTGACTAACCATCCGAACAGCTGCCAGTCACGACTCAAAGCTGGCCGTCCGTGCGCTCTCATCCCTCGCTCCATTCCTCCTTCACTCCATTTGATAACTTTGAACTGTTCGCTCTAACGAAAGAGAGCGTGGAGAAACGTTACTTCTCCAAACATGCGATTACTAAGCGATGCATGGATGTAATGATATTAATCTCTATCCCCTAGTAAACTTACAACACTTCTAGATTGGTATTTTGACTGAAAATTCCGGGGGGTAAAGAGGTGATTTTATTCCTACTAAGCAATCTGCAAGCAAAGAAGACGAAATACAGTGCCATCTCAAGAAGACGAAATACAGTGCCATCTCAAGAAGACGAAATACATTGCCATCTCAAGAAGACGAAATACAGTGCCATCTCAAGAAGACGAAATACATTGCCATCTCAAGAAGACGAAATACAGTGCCATCTCAAGAAGACGAAATACAGTGCCATCTCAAGAAGACGAAATACAGTGCCATCTCCTCAAAAATGAGCACATATACACCTTCGCGTCCTAAAAACAGAGAGGTTCCAGGCTGTACAATAGAGTGCTTAATACTTGCCAATAGAGGGCTCAATACTTCTGCTTTAACAGAAGGAACAACAAACATGGAAGCAACAAACCAGCTTCACATATTTGTAGTGTAGTATCCCTGCTTTGCTTGATTGTAGCGTATCCCCATGTTAGCGTATCCCCGTGTTAGCGTATCCTCGTACGTTAGCGTATCCCCGTACGTTAGCGTATGCGGTATTTTGCCTATAAAAGCGGCGGCACATTTCTCTTTCCATATAAGATATTAATTTTTATTACATACTAATCCAGGTGTGTACCTGAGGAAGAATAAAAAGTTAATTAGAGTTAAGCACCGTGCCTCCACTCAGCTACCTATTACATTGGTGGCAGCGGTGGTTAAAGCGAACTTTGTCAGATTCGACCCACCTGTTTTACATTGGTAGTGTAGCGGGCCGCAGTCTCTCTCGGAGGCAAATGCACACGGGTCTCAGTGAACACACTGTAACTGGCAATTGAAATGTACTGGCAACGAAATTAACTGATTGGCAACTAAATTAACTAACTGGCTATAAAAGAATCGTGAGCAGCAGCTTTGATACAAAGGCAGACTCCGTACGCTAATGTACGGGGATAAGCTAACGTATGGGGATACAGTACGGGGATATGCTATAACCTAAACACTAAACGCTATACACTTTGAAGTCACCAGCGTGCCAACGCTACACCTCCCCTCTCAAAGACAATCAAGTCCTCGTGATTAGTAGCGGTTTGGTGGGCGGATCAATTGGCGGTTCCGGAGATTGTAGGGGTGAACAGGAGGTGGAATTACAGGGGCAGGAGGTAGCGGCTGAGGGAGTGGCGGAGGAAGCGGCTGAGCAGGGTGTGGCATTAAAGGCTGAATGATTGGGGTGAAAGTGGTCGGAGGTGGAGCAACAGGTGGTAGGCAGACATACTGTTTTAGGCGGTTGATGTGAACAACTTGATGGCGTTTCGTTTGGGGAGCTTCGATGCGGACTGTGAAATTGTCGAGAACAGTGACAACTTGGTGGGGTCCTGTCCAAGGAGAATGGAACTTGGGAGACTGGCCAGGGGGAACAGCAGGAGTGTGCCGGAATACCAGATCGCCTACGGCATACTGTGTGGGCGGAGCGTTGCCATCATAGTTCCTCTTCTGATGTTGTTGGGCTTTGGCACCCTGGGCCCGGGCAGTGGTGAATGTCTTACACAGGGAGTCTTGAAGTTGCGGGACATAACGCGGGGCAGTAGTGGGTGGTGTAGCAGGTGGTTGGCCGTACACAAGATCGATGGGCAGAGTTGCTTCTCGGCCAAACATCAGACGGAAAGGTGTAAACGATGTGGTGTCATTCACGCTCATACGGTAAGCTAATAGAGCACGTTGCAGATAGAGGTCCCAATCCTGGTGATCATTGATGGTTGTGGCGAGGATGCGCTCCAGTGTTCTGTTAAACCGCTCGATGAGGCCGTCACTCTGGGGATGGTTGGGCGTCGTTCGAGTTTTGTGAATATCCAGCATGGTGCAGATGGACTTGAACAGGTTGGACTCGAACTGGGCACCATAGCGACAGACGAAGCCGTCAACGAAATATCGGGCGACTGTCTCAGCCCGGATGTCTGGGAGCGGAAACGCCTCGTACCATTTCGTGAAATAGTCTCCAACGACGAGAATGTAGCGGTTTCCTCGTGGTGTCACCGGAAGCGGGCCCATAATATCCATTCCGACTCGTTGTAGAGGAAAGGATGGCTGCGACGTCACCATTGGCGCCTGAGGTGTTGGGACAGGTGGTTTGCGGCGCTGGCAGACTTCACAGGCGCGAATGAACAGGTCAATATCATCGGACATACCAGGCCAATAGAAGCGCGGTCGGGCCTGGGACGTTGTTCGATTGGTACCCATGTGACCAGCAGTGATGTGACTGTGAAGTAAGGCTAGCACTTCTCGTTGGAGCGACGGGGGAACCACCAGCTGCAGGGAGTGCGAACTACAATCTTCCGATTCATACTTGCGGTACAGAATGTCATTGTCGAGTATCAGGCGACTGAACTGATGGTAGAGAGCGAGACGGAACCTACTAGAACCTTGCAGTTCAGGGCTGTGACGAACAGGCCGCTGAGACTGCCGGACCCACATCATAGCTGCCTTGACATCGAGATCCTGGTGTTGGGCATCACGGACCCGCGTTAGCGATGTAGGAGGCAGCGAAGCATCAGTACTAATGGCAGCATTTGTCAGAGCAGGGTCGGCGGGCGGGGAAGGAGGTTTGCGAGAGAGACCATCCGCATTAGCATTAGCCTTACCAGGGCGATGGACAATGCGGTAATCAAACATAGCCAAGCGTTCAATCCAGCGAGCAAGCAAGCCATCTGTGCCAGTGAAGTTGTGCAGCCAGACTGAAGCTTTGTGATCAGTGCGTAGTGTGAAGTGTGTGCCAGCAAGATAGTGACGGAAATATTCACAGAATGTGACAACAGCTAGACGTTCCTTCCTAGTAGCACTATAGCGGTGTTGGCTATGTGAAAGGCTCTTACTAGCGTAAGCTACAACATGCTCTGTGCCATTTGAATCTTTCTGAGAGAGGACAGCGCCCATAGCAAAGTCACTAGCATCTGTGTCGAGGATGAACGTGTGATTCGGAATGGGGTATGCAAGAACCGGGCGGTTAAGAAGTGCATGTTTTAGCGTATTGAACGCATGAGATGAAGCATCTGACCAAATGTGGCTTTCGATTCTGTGAGGGCATGCAGTGGCTGGGCAAGCATTGAAAACTTTGGAATAAATCGGCGGTAGTAAGACGCAAAGCCAAGAAATGGCCTAACTGCTGTCTTACTTGTGGGTTGACGCCAGGTGCGGACGGATTCCAGTTTACCCGGGTTAGGACGAATGCCGTCGTGGGCGAAGTGAAAGCCCAGGTAGACGACAGACGGTTGTAGTAGGTTGCATTTCGATGGCTTGATCTTCAGACCAGCTTTGCGGAGACACAGGAAGACAGCGCGGAGGTTGGTGAGATGCTCTCGGAACGTCTTGGAGAACACAATGATATCGTCTAGATATATGAGGCAGATTGCTGGGATGAGGACACGAAGCACTGTAGACATCAGGCGCTGAAATGTGCCAGGTGCGTTGCACAATCCAAAGGGCATAACATTCCACTGAAATAAGCCGAACGGAGTGGTAAAGGCAGACTTTACCTTGGCAGATTCAGTGAGCTCTTCCTTCCAGTAACCGGATGCCAAATCTAGTGTCGAGAAGTACTTACAGCCTTGCATGGCGTCAATAGCATCGTCGACGCGGGGTAAAGGGAAGGCATCACGCTTAGTGCGCTGGTTGAGTTTGCGGTAATCGACACAGAGACGGATACTATCGTCCGGTTTGCGTACAACAACTATTGGAGCAGCCCATTGACTCGCGGAAGGCTCCACTATACCATCGTCAATGAGTCGGTCAATATGATCCCGCACCTCAGCTTGACGGTGCACGGGCAGGCGGCGAGGCTGCATCCGAATAGGCTGGTCCGTTGTAGTAGGAATGTCGTGAGTGATGACTTGAGTGCGACCCACGTCAGATGGGCCGGTTGAGACGGTGTCGGAAAACTCCTCTAACAGAGCGTGGAGCTGGGATTGTTGATCAGGCGGCAAATTGCTAGTGTTGAACATAGCAGTGACAGACTGAGCGGTAGCAGCAGCAGACGTATAATTGGTGGGGTAATCAGCAGGAGGTTTTGTGGCCGAAGAGTCAATGGTGCCTGGTGACAGAGAGCCAAGCGTGCAGTTCTCAGGTAGTGTGATGGGGTGCTCGTTGGGGTTGATCGGACGGACGGGCACCATGTTATCAGTGACGGTAGCCAGAGTAGCGAGGCCGACAATGTGGTGAGTACTAGACTCACAAGGCTCAAACAGCAGGGGACTATCAGAATAATGGCGGGAAGCAACTTTTGCGGAGCAAATGTAATGAGACATGGCAGGGACGGTCACACGCGGCAGCGGGAAGCGTGCATAAAACGGGAGTAGCGGAGAGCGAAGCGGCATGGACAGGTGACCTTGGTGACGGGATCACAGTGGGGGAATGCAGGGGAATAACGTGACCAGCAATGGACATGTTGGAAGTGGCGAAATCAAGCGAACACGCTTGGGCATGCAAAAATTCAACCCCTAGAATGACCTCGGGATGGATGGAGGCAACTAAGAACTCATGCAGGACAGGCGGAGTGGTAGGCAAAACAGAAATGTGCAACTCAGCTTGACCTAAAATTGCTACGGAGGAGCCAACCACAGAAAGAATGCGTGAGGGGGGTGGAGGGGACAGGGATGGGCGATTACTCAGAGAATCCCACAGCTTCTTGCCCACAATTGACTTGGAAGACCCACTGTCTAACAAAGCTTTGGAATCAACTGTGTTCACAGTCACGGGTATTACAGGTAGGCGGCATGCATGGTCGCGTCGAGACAAACTCGACGAAAAAAAGTGTAATGGGGAGAGGTCGGGGAGAAAAGCACGTACATCAGGGAGGCGGTGGCGGTACAGCACAGTGAGCAAAACCGTTAAAATCGTGAGCGTAACAGGGTGAGCAAGGAGCAAGACAGCAAGGCATATAAACACAGTGCTTACGTCAGTCCCGGGAGAGCAGGATGCAGCAGGGCTAGCGTCCGAGGTACTTAGTACTGCCACCGGTAGTTTCCCGCCGGCGCAGGACGACGGGCACGGCATTTTCGGCTGATGTGACCCTGTCGGCCAC